TGGCCCTCTTGGTATTGACATGAAGAAACAAACCATCAGTGCCTGCCAGACCCCAAGCATTCATATGTATATCATCTTACCTAAAACAGTAGATAATAACAACTTGTCAGCTTTATAGAATTGTTAGGATGAGAAAATGAGGTGATGGGTACATCTTATTCTTTTGTATTATAGAAAGATAAGATGTCTTTATATTGCATATTCCTTTACATATATTTAGATAAAAACGAATTAGAGTATGAAATTAGGAAATCCAAATGTTTGCACCAGTAATGTGTTTACTAAGTTTGATTTCTTTTTTTAAAATTTTATTTATTTTATTTTTATTAGTTGCTCATGACATTCAATGACATATCATACATTTGATTCAAATGGAGTATGAATTCTCATTTTTCCACGTGTACAGGTTGCAGGCTCACATTGGTTATACGGCCACATACAGCAATATTAGTGTCTATTGTATTTTATTGTCCTTACTAAGTTGAATTTCTTAAATCAATTAATATCTTGTATTTTTTAATTGGAAGTTGGTTTTGAAAAGCTATAATTTTTGAATGCTTACAGTATTGTATATTGTTCAGTGTTTCATACATATAGTCCCTGATAATTTTTTTTATTATTTATTTTTTAGTTTTCAGCATCTTTGTTTGTATGTGGTGCTGAGGATCAAACCTAGGCCGCATGCATGCCTTTCGAGTGCGCTACCACTTGAGCCACATCCCCAGCCCCGAGTCCCCGATAATTTTTATAATAGCTTTATGAGATAGAAAGGAAAACTTTTTCTGTTATGGAAACTGAAGCTCAGGGTGACCAGGCTTATGCTATTAGTGAGTAGTAGAACTAGTGATTTTTTTTTTTTTTTTTTTTGGTGGGGATAGTCCTGGGGCTCTCAGTTATAAGCATATAAGCATGTGCTTTTCTACTGAGATACATCCCCAGACCCTAGAACCAGTTTTCTAACTTGTGTGTTTCTAACTTGTGTGTTTCTAACTTGTGTGTTTGCTTCACCATCACACTTATGACTGCTGATTTTATTGTCAGTTTATGAAAATTGTTCTTAACCTTTTCATTGGGTAGCTTTCTTTTTCCATCTTTATTTGTCATTCAATTTCTTTAATAAATGTTGAGCACCTACTATGTATCAAACGTTGCTGCAAGTGCTAAATATACAGAAGTTAATGAAACATGAAAATGGAGCTTAGGTTCTAGTTTATATGATATGTTAATGATTAAAATGTTCAGTGTGTTAAATGGTGAGAGATGCTATGGAGATGGTAGCAAGGGGGATATCAGGGCAGTGTTTGTGGTAAGAAGTTTATATTGTCCATAGAAATTGGAAGTACAGATTTAAAAAAAAAAAGGGTAGGCAGCTTCTTGTGGTAACTGATATAAGTAGGGATTAAAAATAAAACAAACTTAGGGCTGGGACTGGGGCTCAGCGGTAACGCACTTGCCTGGTATATTGAGGCAATGGGTTCAATTCTCAGTACCACATATAAATAAATAGAATAAGGGCCTATCAACAACTAAAACATTTTCTAAAAAATAAATAAATAGAACAAAATTAATCCTCAGCATCTTACAACAGAGGTTGTAAATCTCTAGAATATTGTCAACCAAGTTCTGGGGCAGCTTTTGGCTAGGAAAGGGGTAGTCTTATCCAGAGCTTGTGGCAATCATGAACTGCTGCTTCTGTTCATGGAAGCAAGAAAAAAGGAATCTTATTTTGTGATCCTTACACTCCCACTAGTCTAGTTAGTTAGTGTTTTGATAAACCTTCTTGCTGAGTGATTCAGTTACTTTCAGATGCTAAAACAAACATTTATCTTATGAAGTGTATTTTCCTATCACCTCCTCAAAGAAAATGGGTGAAACTTTAAGCTTGCTAAATCTTATTTCTTTTTTTTTTTTAAAGAGAGAGAGAATTTTTTTTATTGGTTGTTCAAAACCTTACAGAGCTCTTGACATATCATATTTCAAACATTAGTTTCAAGTGAGTTATGAACTCCCATTTTTACCCCAAATACAGATTGCAGAATCACATCGGTTACACATTCACATTTTTACATAATGCTAGAATTTTTTTAATATTTATTTTTTAGTTTTCGGCGGACAAAACATCTTTGTTTGTATGTGGTGCTGAGGATTGAACCTGGGCTGCACGCACGCCAGGCTACTGCTTGAGCCACATCCCCAGCCCCCAAATCTTATTTCCATATCCTAAAAACTGAAATGAATTCTTTTTAAGTTTAGAGTATAATGGAAAGTTATTAATGTCTCAGAGCATAGCTTTAGACAGTTTCCTTGGGCTTTCTGCTATTCTATTAATCACATTTTAAAAGAGAATAAAAGATTGATTAAACATGAAAACTTAAAGTATAATTTCTAAATATAGAAAAAGACTCAATACTGATTGGGGAGAGGTTCAAATTTATGTCATTAAAAAGCATTGTTATATAACAAAAAGGACACAGATTTTGGAGTATTAGATAACTGGGTTCAATATTTTGTTGCCTCTAACCATTTACATTACCTTGAAAAATTATACCATCTCTCTAAACCTTAATTTTCTCATCTGTGAAACTTCTTCCCCCCAAAAGCCTGCACTGATACCCCTTTCCTTCCATTTTTCTGTAGTTCCTCTCACCCTTTGATACACTGAACATTTTAATCATTTCGATATCATGCAAGGTAGAACCAGTAAACTCCATTTTTAGAAACATGAAGAGTAAATCAAGACACTCATTATTAAATTATAAAGCAACATAATAGGTTTATAAAAATCAAGTGTTAGATGCTGTGGGAACAGAAACAAGGGAAAAAAATTCATATTATTCTGGAGTGAGAATGGACAAGTGGGATGAGAAGACAACTAAAAGAAGGAGGTTTAGATCAAATTGGAGTTGATCAAATACAGAAGCAAGTAAATCACTCTAGGAAGAGAGTCCTATGAGGGTGAATATCTAGAGGTATCAAAGTATATATCCTTAGCCGAGGTCTGAATTATTTCCTCTCTCAGTATGCTCCCATAATTTTCTTACTGTAAATCAGGACCCATTAGCCTTTACAATTTACTTTGGTAAAGTGTAAACTCCTTTTGTGCAGTTTGTTTACTATAGCTCACCATTTATGCACGAGATACTCAAGAAATACTCATTGAATGGATAAATTAAAATAAAATTTTTCTTTTAATTTTTTAGAAGACCATTTTTAATGTAACACGGGAGTCCAGAATTCTAGTTTTAGCCGTGCCATTAACTAGTTAAATGACCTTACTTCTTCACTTGGACCATTTTCTTATCTGTTTAACAGTATTGATAATGCCTAAGTTTTCTTCCAACTGTAATACTCAGGAATTGTGTGATTTCTGTTGCCAGGTGTTTATTTGTGAGCCTTAGAGGGAGATATAGTGTTTGTCACATGGCATGTACTCAGTAAATACATATGCAATTAAAAAGTCCAAACATATCAGAACTTCTCAGTTGGAAAGATTAAACAGATTTCCAGAACATTATAAATGTAATGAACCTATAAGCTACTTTTCTTTTTCTTCTTCTTCTTCTTTTTTTTTTTGGTTGTACTGGGGATTGAACCCAGGGCCTTGTGCCTTCGAGGCAAACACTCTACCAAATGAGCTATATCCCTAACCCCTACTTTTCTTAATTGGTTATGTTGTAAGTTTCTCTTGATGTGTTGGCAACCAAATGAAAATGGGGAACCAGGTTTTAAAATGGTAGTTTTGTGTTTGAGTTTTATTCTAGGGGTCAATAAATAATTGAATGACTCTTTTAAGTGACACATCTTTATATTTTCTCCTGGGATTTTTGGCCTGAAACTCATGTATTGGATAATGTTCATATTTTTTTTTATTATGCTTTGTTCAGTTTTAGTCTCAGTTATGTATTTGTCCCAAACATTTGAATGCTTTTCTTGGTGGATACATTGAGGGTAAGCTTAATTTTTGTTTATATGCCAAAAACAATTTGTTGACATTTCTCATGCATAAACAGCATTTAACAAATTATGCAACACTGCATCAAAAAAACAAAATGAGGATTTAAATTAATGATCCTGATTTTCTTGATTTTTCCATAAAATCATTTTAAAAGCTACCCTTCAAATAGATCTAAAGTGTTTTTTAAAAAACACTGTGGGGATCCAGTCAAAGATGTATTCTTTCTGTTGTGTTTGTAAATATAAAAGTAAATAATTAGAAAAGAGAAATAAAAGTCAAAGGAAGAGTCCCTTAAATATATTGTCTTGAGTGGAAATGGCAGGAATTTAAATTGGAATTTAGACATTATCCAAATGAGTAGAATCTCAATCTACAAACTTACATATTTTAATCCTCTTTTTTTTTTTTGTCTTTCTCAGAATCTGTTAGGGTATGGATAATGTTCATATTGAGTTGAGTTTTAAGAAGTTGGTGTGGTTAAGATTGAGTTTCAATGGAATTCTGATTTCTTGTTATGTAAGATATTTCCCAGCTATTAATGCTTGTCCTGCCTTGAATTTCTGTCTCTGGGGTGTTAAGGTGAAATTTTGTTTTTTAAAACCATGATGGTATTTTAAATTTAAGTATTGAGAATGCAAGGAAAACCTTAGTTAATACGCTTTCCACAATAATCAAGTGCATTCATTTCATTTATGTTTACAGCTTTACAAGTTAAGGAATAGAAAACAGAAGTTTAATACTCCATTAATTTTGGAGACTTAAACTTCCAACATATGTCAGAGAAATCACGGTAGATAGGTAGGGTCATTCTGAAGGGAAAACATTTTATTTATTTGAAGTCTAAAATATTTTGACTATTTAGATAGTATAAAATTACCTTATTATCAGAATAGAAAGCCAGTAATAGTAAGTAGTGAACATCCTGGGAAAATATTTTGGAAGTGTTGTTTAAAAAATTTTTCACACGTGTTCTATAAGAATTAAAGCATAATTGACTATCTGGCAGACATTCTATATGAATATCTTTATGGTTTTTGTTTTTCAGGCGTTTTAAAAATATTTAATCATTCATGAGTTGAGCCTCATTCTTGAGTTATGGATGACAAGGCTTCTGTTGGAAAAATCAGTGTCTCTTCAGACTCAGTGTCTACTCTTAATAGTGAAGATTTTGTCTTGGTTTCCAGGCAAGGAGATGAGACACCATCTACAAATAATGGAAGTGATGATGAGAAAACAGGACTCAAGGTAAAACTTAAAAACTTAAGTTTATTTCGCTTAGCTTGGCTAAGCCCTTTGCAAAACTTGGACTTAACAGAAAAGGGACACGGTGAGAAAATGGAATTAATGTACTTCCTTCTTATAGTGTTAAAGCAGTCTATGTACACTTAGTGAGAAATTTATATTTAGTTAAGATTTCTCTTTGATTAGCTTCTTCTAAATTTTCTAACATTCCTGTCAAACTTCTAATGGTTATCATGTTAAACATTTGTAATTTTAGTATTGTTTTCCCTTTATCATAGAATTAGAGGTGCTTGTTTTTTGGGGGAGCCTGTTATGTGTATTGTAAGGGTACTGATAGGTCCGCAATGAAGTTTAAGATATTGAAACAACTTTATTATCTGTGGTGCTGGGGACTGAATATAGGACCTCACATTTGCTAGACAAGTGCTCTATTACTGAGCCACATCCCCAGCCCATGAAATAAATTTAAATACCTGGTCTTTGACCACTTTTGTCTTTTCTCCACCAAATAGTTCTTTTTCTACACTATATTACTAGTCTACTCTTTATGGATAATAATGAAAACACGTTATCTGTTAATGGTTGTCATGTAATTTATAAGTAGTTTTTAAAATAGTCCAATTTTCTTGTACATCTGTTCATTCAATAAGTGTTTATTGAATAATGACTGTGTGCCAGGTTTTGTTCTAGGTACTGGGGATTTAGTGGTAAACAACACAGGCAACTCCCCCTTTCTTCTTAGAGCTTGTATTTCTGATGGCGGAAATAGACTTTAAGCAAATAAAAAATAAATATATCGAGTAAATTTAGGTCCTACGAAAAAGGAGGTTACAGTGGATGAGGAATGAATGATTTGGTGGTTGTTTTTTGACCTTTGTTTTCAGAATTTTGGAAACACTTCTATCACTTATAAACATACAGTGGAATAAGAGAGAAGTAGAAGAAGATCTTAGAAGATGGGAAAATATACCCTGTTCATGGATAGGCAGAACTAACATCATCAAAATGGCGATTTTTATCAAAAGTTCTCTATAGGTTTAATGCAATGCCAATCAAAATCCCAACGGCATTTCTTGTAGAAATAGATAAGTAATCATGAAAGTCATATCTAAAAATAAAAGACCCAGAATAGCAAAAGCAATTCTAAGCAGGAAGTGTGAATCAGGAGGTATAGCAATACCAGACTTCAAACTATACTACAGAGCAATAGTAACAAAAACAGCATGGTACTGGTACCAAAATAGGAGGGTGGACCAGTGGTACAGAATAGAGGACACAGAAACAAATCCACAAAACTACAACTTTCTTGTTTTTGACAAAGGGGCTAAAAGCATGCACTGGAGGAAGGAAAGCATCTTCAACAAATGGTGTGGGGAAAACTGGAAATTCATATGCAACAAAATCTGAATCCCCTTTCTCTTGCCATGCAAAAAAGTTAATTCAAAATAGATCAAGGAGCATGATAGCAAAACAGAGACTCTGCATCTGACAGAAGAAAAAGTTGGCTCCGATCTACATACTGTGGGGTCGGGCTCTAAATTCCTTAATAGGACACCCATAGCACAAGAGTTAATAACTAGAATCAACAAATGGGACTTACTTAAACTAAAAAGTTTTTTCTCA